GAAGTTTATAGGTTGGCAAGTCACCTGTTTCAAGATAACCAGTGTACATCACTGCAATATAGAACAACAGCTGCAGAATGACTACAGCACTTTGTGTTCTGACAAGTTCTGGAGCACAAGTCTTATGAAGAGCGGCTAAGGGAACTGGGGTTGTTTAGCCTGGAGAAGAGGAGGCTGAGGGGAGACCTTATTGCCCTCTACAACTACCTGAAAGGAGGTTGTGGTGAGATGGGTGTTGGTCTCTTCTCTCAAGAAACTAGTGAAAGGACAAGAGGAAATGGTCTCAAGTTGCATCAGGGGAGATTTAGATTAGATATTAGGAAAAATTTCTTCACTGAAAGAGTGGTCAGGCATTGGAACAGGCTGCCCAGAGAGGTGGTGGAGTCACCATCCCTGGAGGTGTTCAAAAAACATGTAGATGTGGCACTTTGGGACGTGGTTTAGTAGACATGGTGGTGTTGGGTCGACGGTTGGACTTGATGATCTTAGAGGTCTTTTCCAGCCTTAAGATTCTATGATTCTGTGACACTATTGAATTCACATTTTTTTAGAGAATTCTTAGTTTTGTGAATGGCATAATTTGCTGTCTATTGATATTTAATCAAAAGCTAGGAATTATTTCTATTAAGTTAAAACAAACTTGGTAATTTTCTATACTTTTAACTGACTTTTCCAAGTAGAAAAGATGAGATTTTGGTTTTGTATTGTCATTGATTTTCCTTTATTAGTAAAAAGAAAATGCGTTAATTAAAAAAGTTAATTGACATCTTTATAATACTGGATTATAAAGAATGTTAAACCCTCTCAATCCTTGAGAATGCTAAGTGAGTATTTAGGGCACTATACCTTTCTGTCTAATTTGGAAAAGTAAAGTTTTTGCAGCTTATTTACTAATAATAGAATCATAGAATCATAAAATGGTTTAGGTCGAAAGGGACCTCAAAGATCATCTAATTCCAACCCCCCTGCCATGGGCAGTGACACCCTCCACTAGACCACGTTG